AGGGTCCCAAGCAAGGGGGCAGGAGGCAATGGACTGGGGACATGCTGAAGGAGTGTAGGCTGGCTCCGCTCCTTCCTCCTATGTTCCTGCCCTCCAGGAACCAGGACTCTTGCTCCAGCACCGTGCCTGGGTCCCAGCCGGGCACAGCCTGGCCTTCCAGGACACTTGCTTTCTGTGCCCCTTCTGCCAGGCGCTGCTGATCAGCTGGCCTCCTGGGGTCTCTTGCCTGAGGAAAGCTACATTTACAAGGACTTTCTTAATCTCAGGCAGGGAGGCAAGGAGCTGCTCAGACGTATGCTCAGGGACTAACGCTGGCTACAGCGCCATATGTGCCAGCATTTAGTCATCACCCCCACCCCGCACCTGGCCCATCAAGAGTGATAATAGCAGACAGAGGAGTTTAGCAGTTTGCCAAAGGTTCACAGCTAGGAGATGGGGAAACCAGGGCTCAAACCCAGATTTCTCCGACTTCACAACTGGAGCTCTGTTTGAGGCAGTGGTCAAGGTAGGCCTGGGCCCCAGTGGGGCTCACCTGGGTGGAGGCCTTTGGCCCGTTTGCTCAGTAGGCTCACTTAAAGCCTAAAGCCAGGCATGGCCCTGCCACCCCTCCCCTCATCCTTGAGGGCCAGGAAAAGCTGCCCGATGCGGCCCTTAACAAGAATGAGCTCAAAACGATGATTTTACACTAAAACCCACCAGCCTTCCACAGTCAGGACACTATGAACAGCACATGCCAAGGCTGCATGCGGGGCAGGAGTGTGCATGCTGCACACCACGATTCTCTAGTGCACACACACATGCGCACACACCAAGACTGCATGCAGGACCGGGGTGTACATGCTGCACATCGTGATGCTCTAGTGCACATGCATGTGCCCACACACCAAGACTGCATTCGGGCAGGAGTGTACATACTGCACACCGTGATGCTCTATTGTACACGCATGTGCCCACACACAGATTTGGGGAACAGGCTGCTGTAGTCATTGTTCCTCTCAGCCTCACTTGATGCCCCTGATACAGAAAGTGGAGGGGGCCAGGGAGTCCGGCTTGAACACCACCCCTCCGTTTACTGCGTGGGTAATGGTAGCTGCTGAAACAGACAACCCGGATCTTGCAGCCTCCTCCAGTGCCATCTGCTGAGTCCCCAGCAGGTGCTTCCAGGGGCAGGAGGCTCCCTCCGCCAGGGTCTGGCATCCGGGCACCTTCCTGCTGGGTGCTGGCATGCAGCTTGCGGCTGACTGGGGAGATTTTGGTACCAGGCCTGAAAGGGATACCACTTCTGCCCATGTTGCTTCTGCCAGAGCTCAGTCATGTGGCGACTCCTAGTTGCAAGGGATGTGGGAAATGGGGCCCTATTGGGTACCGGCCTCTGCCTCTGGGCCCAAGTTCCTGAAATGGTCCCTGAGCTTCCGTGCTCTCACCTGTAAAATGGGGAGAGCAAATAACACCAGCCCTGTGAGGCTGTGCTTGGAAATAACTTTTAAATATTTCCTTCGTCTCTTCTTTTCCCCTCGTATCCCTTCTTGTCCTTCCTTTCTACCCCGAAGTCCGCCACAGGCACACACACAGCAGCAAACTCATCTACAGCCTTTATTTCCTGCATCCCCCCTCCTTGTCTGTCTCTGGGGTACATAGAAGGTTAATCCAGGCATGACCTTGAGTAACTTGCTGGTCAGGTCAAAGGCCAGGACCAGACGCTGGTCTCAGAGGACTCCCTGTCCAGTGCTCCTCTCTGGCTGGCCGCGTTCTCCTGTTAGAGGAAGCTCTCCTCTTTTCCGAGCCCTCCAGTCACAGCCCTCCCAGAGCCACTGTGCCTCTGCCTCCCCCGCCCTCCCACCGGCCCTTCTGTAGAGGCGCCAGGCAGAGCGGGGCTCATGGCCACGTCCCTCCCCAAACAACTGCTTGAACGCCTGCCTGCCTCATAACTAGAGTCCAACTGTCTCCTTCTTAAGGCTCCTCAACCTTAATTGCTCAAGACCCACCGGGGATCACCCGTGGGGTGCAGTTCCAGGTCTGCTTGCTGAGGGAAGGAAGCAGGGTTCCTATGCCAACCTCTGCTGCAGTTTCTTCTTGCTGCCACCTGGTGTCGCTGTAGGGCTACAGGACGGACCCACTGGCCACACTGAGGCTCTGCCTGCTGGGAGCTAAGCATAGGCCCCCAGCGGGGTGGGGTGGGATGTCTCACCTGGGGGAACTTTGTGCTCATACCCAGCCCCAGGCCCAAGGCATGGGCCAGTCCCGGAGCAAGGTCAGGCCCAGTCCAGCCTCCCACCTCCCACCACTACCTTCCCTCCCCGCAGATCCATGGGGTCCCGTTAGGTCCCAGCCCCTGTGTCTCCTCTCAGGAGAGAAGGCTGCCCTCACTGGTCTCCCACAGGTTTCCAGGGCTCCCACCCCGACCCAGGAAGGAGTGCCCAGTGAGGACAAGCCGGTGTTCCGGAGCCCTCTTTCGTTTATTTATTTGTTTATTTGTTTTTTAAAATATATTTTTATTTTCAGAGAGGAAGAGAGAGGGAGAGAGAGATAGAAACATCAACGATGAGAGAGAATCATTGATCGGCTGCCTCCTGCACACCCCCTACTGGGGATCAGCCTGCAACCCAGGCATGTGCCCTTGAGCGGAATCGAACCCGGGACCCTTCAGGCCTCAGGCTGAGGCTCTATCCACTGAGCCAACCCAACTAGGGTGAGCCCTCCTTTAGTAAGAAGAAACTAATAGTAACTTAACTCTATCTCAGGGCACCTACGGCATGGGCCCAGACAGGATGGGTGTCTGTGTGACTGGAGAAACTGCGGCTGGATTCTGCCCCAGATATTTCTCTGTGTGTGGCAGGCCTAGAATGTTCCTCTAGGATGCATCCCGAGTCTTAAAAGGGCACCGGTCTTCCAAAGTTTCTTAAAAACCCACTCCCTGGGGGGGCCAGGTTGGCCCTCTTGCCCCTCTATCTTAGTGGGGATTGCAGCCTTAAAGCAGCAGAGGTTCCTAACCTGAGGAGGGTCCTGGGACCACACCATGTGTGTGCACACAAACACTGACCGTGCTTCCAGGGCTCCCTAAGGACCCTTACCTGTGAGGCATTAAACGCAGGGGAAGTGGGTGGGGTTGAAGGGACTCCCAGGGGAGTCCAACCTTGTCTCCCTGCAGCTCTGCTGAGGGCCCGTCAGCAGAGGGCACCGCCTGCTCGCCGCTCTGGGCACCTGGCCTGCATCACATGCAGCTGCGTCAGTGAGGAGAGGGCCCCAAGGGGCAGCCCCACCGCTGTGGGCAGGCGCTGCCTGGCAACAGGTTTGGGCTTCACTATTTGTATTCTCTTCACTCATCGTCCCAGCCAGCCAGCCCAAAGCTGACCACCGTGCTTTCCTGTCTGACAACCTAGCTCCCTGACCTAACTCCACCTTCTCCCAGGTGCCAGGGTTCCAAGCCCCACCACTCTTGGTCTATTTTAGAAAGACTCAAGGCAGCAGGGATTGACACTGCGGTGCCCGTCTGTGCGTGGCACCAGCCTGGGCCATCTCTGTGTGTCTCTGTGTGCCATCGTGTCTCCCGCTCAGCTCTGCAGTGAGTGGTTATTCCCATGTGGCACAGAAAGGTGATGCACCGAAGAGGCAAGGCTGGGTTTCAAACTCGGATCTGGCTGGTTCTAAAACTGCACTCCAGGCTTCGTGAGCCTTCACAGGCTGGCCATGACGGCGCCCAAAACCATGGTCTCCTGCTGCTGGATCTGCCCCTGGGTCTGCAGGGAGGGGGCCAGGCCGGAAGGCGGTACAGTGATGGGACATGTCCTAGCTGGGCACTGTTACCCCATTCTGAGCCTTGGTTTTCTCATCTGTAAAATGGCCAGCAGCGCCTGCCTCACTGGGCCCTCTGACGATCAGATCAGCATCCGCACGTTCACATTGGTTGGTCCTGGAAATACTAGTTAGTACACTCGTATTTCTCCAGCTCAGTGGAATCTGCTTGAGCCTACACCCTGAGAGCCAGTGAGCCGAACCTTGAGCTTGTCAGAAGGTGCATGCCAGCCCAGCTGGGGGGCTTCAGGGGCTCCCGGACAGGGTACAGATGAGAGCAAAAGCAGTGTCAGGGCTGTGATCAGCTCCCCGCACCCCTGCAGCACCCACAGCAGCCAGACCCGGGGCCTGGAACTCAGCCCTTCTTGGCAGCCAGAGTGGCGATGCAGCTGAGCCTGTTGTCCCAAGGAGGGAAGCTCCTGGTGGCTCTCCAAGGCCCCTCCTTGCCTGGCAGCTCCCCTCCCCCAGTGCTCCAGCTCCTGCTCTACAGGCTCTTGGTGGGCAAGGTCTCCCCTCTCCCCCATGGAGAGCTCAGAGCAGGCTCTTCACCCCTCATCTGCTTCTCCAGCCAGGCAGCCAATGTTTGGAGAGCAGGGACTCTGGGTGGGTGCGGGGAGCCCTCAGAAATCACCTGCTGGGGATGCAGGGGAGCCACTGCACCCCATGTGAGGACATGGGGTACAGCCTGTGCTGGAGCTGGGCGGGGAGCTCCAGATGCCAGTGGTGCAGGTCAGCCAGCGGCGGGGGGAGGGCAGGCAGAGGAAGGCCCTCCGTGAGCATTGAGGGACCTTGGAGCTGAGTTTGGAGCCTGCGGAGGGAAGGGTGAGGGGGCAGGTGGGAGTGAACAGGGGTCTCAGAGAGCCATGGAGTGGGCTGGCCCCGGAGCAGGGACCCTGAAGGCTGCCGTGGCCGGGACACCTGGGGCCTGGCTCTGGTTGAGTTGTTGTTGGGGCCACTGAGTGCTGTGCCCTGGCCAGTCCCTCCTCGTGCACCCTGGTGCCTGGCACAGTGGCCGTGAGTGTGGGTGAGGCGCTGGGAGGAAGACAAGCGGTGACTGGAGGCTGGGAGGGATGTTTGCTAGTTTGTAGATCAAGTGTCAGGGATCAGCAGGTCTCTCTCTCTCTCTCTCTCTCTCTCCTCTCTCACAGGATCAGCAGGTCTCTCTCTCTCTCTCTCTCTCTCTCTCTCTCTCTCACACACACACACACACACACACACACACACACACCAGGTCTTTGCCCCTTCTAGGCCCAGCTGCCTACTACCTCGCCCTCCACTTTTCCTGATGGACAGACCTATGTATTCTTCAAGGATCAATTGAGCCAACTGGAGTGGACTCTGGTTCAGAGAAAGGCAGCTGCGGACAAAGTGGCAGAGGAAGCTCTCGGCTGCCCCTAAGACATTGCTGAGGGCGCCCAGGAGGCCCAGCCTCTGTCCCTGGTCCCCACGGCTCACGCATAGCATGCTTGGCATCCACAGGTTCCATGTTTCGAAACTGCACACCGGGCGGCTGGTCAGAAATCTTCCCCAGGCCTGACCTGGCCTGTGGGGTTAACGTGAATGACTCGTTCAAGGAGACCGACGAGAAGCGGGTAAGCCTGTCAACCTCTCTGGAAGGGCCCTACAAGGGGAGAAGTCCCAGCACCCAGCCAAGGACAGTGACCTGGGTGTGCGGCCCCCACCCACTTTTGTCCGGCACATCACCTGGGGCTCTGTGGGCCGTGGCACAGGTGGACTGCCATATGCTGCCATGAGTCGGGGGATTTGGTCATGAAACCAAAAGAGAAGCTATGTGGTAGCTACACGCTCAGACCAGGCTGGTGAGCCTCAGCCCTGACCTGTGACCTTGGTGGGGGTGTGGGCAACTTTACTTCTCTGTGCCTCAGTTTCTTCATCAGGGAAATGGGGTTAATAATCGTTCTGACCTCACAGGCTTGCCCAGAGAACTAAATGAGTTAATCCATGGAAGTGGTGAGCTGGGTGCCTGGCCATAGTAAGTGTTCAATCAATGTTCGCTCTCAAAAGAGAGAGCCCAGCTCCAGGGTCGTCAGTCCTGGGTTGAGAGAGGACACTATGAGCCATGGGCTGAACTTCTCCGGGTGCCTCCTGAAGTAGCTGTCAATTTCAGAGAACCCTTCCTTCCCTCCTCGCTTTTCCTGACCGGCTCGTACACAACCTTTAAAACTCCACTCCAGAGCACCAACCCCAGAAAGCTGCTTCTGCCTGTCCCCCAGGAGGGGCTCCCTGACCGTGTTAGCCTCCAGCTATTACCATATTCTATGAAGTCATCAGCATGTCCATGGGCACCCATCTCTCTCACTAAAATATGAGCTCCTCAAAAGCCTCCATTCAATACTCGACAAACATTTGGGCAAGGCCCGGGGCTAAGCATGGAAACACAGCAGTGACAGATTGAAAAGAGTCATTTCCCGGCCCCATCGCCCAGCACAATGTCTGGCCCCTATAAGGCGCCCACTAATGCTCATTGTTGGACTGAGCATCTACCTCATGCCAGCTGCTTAATGCACAATCACATTAATGCTGAAAAGCGTTCAGTGTAAGTTCATCATATTCTCCATTTTGCAGGTGAGGAAACTGAGGCGGAAAGGGGTTAATGCAATATTGGACTTACCTCAGACAATTATTGTCCAAAAATAGTGGGAAGGAGACCTACTTGGCTTCAGCTCACATTAAGAAAAAATTCAAAAGTCCCTAAGATTGGAAGGGTTCCAGACCATATGACTCACAATGGCCCATAAATGCTGGTCCACAAATCGGCACACAATTTGTCTTTTATTCTGAGATTTGAACCATCCTTCTATTTATTTATTTATTTATTTAGTTAGTTAGTTAGTTTAAATCCTCTCGGGATGATATGTGGTTTTCCCCCCATTAGATTTAGCGAAAGAGGAAGGGTTTTTTTTCTTCTTCTTCTTTTTAATCCTCACCCAATGGTATTTTTTTTTGCCTATTGATTTTTGGATAGAACGAAAGGGAGGGAGAGAGAAACATTGATGTGAGAAAGACACATCAATTGGTTGCCTCCTGAACGTGTCTAGACTGGGCATCAAACCCCCAACCTGTGCATGTGCCATGACCGGGAATTGAACCTGCAATCATTTTGGTGTGCAGGACAACTCTCTAACCAACTGAGTCACCCAGCCAGGGCTGATCATCCCATTTATTATTGCTGAAATTCTTTTTTCTTTTAATCAAATGATGGTGAAAGTCTGAATTTGTTGGTTTTCTCTCAACTTCCTTACTTGGCAGACACCTCTCTATTATTGACAAAGATTATTGACAGAGTGGACTCAGACTGGCAGAAAGACCAGGCAAAGATGTCACTTGAACAAATAAGATGGGGTTTGCTTACCTACAGCAGAGGTTGGCAAGCTACAGCCCTTGGGCCAAATCAGATCCACCACCTGCTTTTGCAAATAAAGTTTTATTGAAATACAGCCACGTCCATTTGCACTACAAGGGCAGAATTGAGTTAGCTGTAAAAGAGATCTTATGGCACCCAAAGCCTAAAATATTTACTACTTGCCCTGTATGGGAAAAGCCTGGTGACCCCAATCTAGAGGATGCAAAAGGAAGGTGGCCCAGTCAGAATACAAAGCAGAGCAATAGGTAACTTGACCCTTGATGGACAGCAGTGAGGATCCTGGACCCGTGTTCTCTGGCAGGTGGTGCAGTAGTTGCAACTGTCAAGGGCAGAGATACTGAGGTTGCATCAGGCCTCCTGGGAACAGGACTCTTTCTGGGTCAAACCTTAAAGACACAGGGCAGGACCAGGTCTGCATGAGAACTGGCCCATGTGTCCTGAGGGTCAGAGGTGGACAATGACCCCAGCCACAGGCCAGTACAGAATACTCAGCCTGAACACGATGCTGTCACTGGGGCCTCCTCATGCTGCCATAGGCTGCCCCAAACTGCTCCTGAATTGAGGGCTGCGAAACCAGGCATCCCCGAGGGTGAGGCCAACACCCTCAGCTATGGGGCTCATGTGGGTCCTCCAATATTTTGACACTTCACTGCTCTCTGATTAAAGGTCTAGGAACCATTCATCTGATGCAACCTACTGCCCTTCTGGCTCTCTGCCTTGTGCCTCTAAGGTGGCTCCTGGCTCCTGGGACTGCAGTGACATCAGTGGGGAAGCTCAATGTCACAAGGCAGCCATCCTGTCAGAGGTCACCTCTTGCTGCCAGAAAGTTTTTGGTCACTCAGAGTCAAACCTACTTTCCGGTAACGTCCTCCCACCAGAGCTCACACGTTAGGTCTTACTCTGCTTCTACAGGCCCATCGACCTGATAGTGTCCTCCCCGGAATTTGTTTATCCCTCTGGGTGTAGTTTACCCAGCTCAATCATGTGCTCTTCAGGTGACAAGCTCAACCTTCTCTGGGAATACTCCAGTTTATTAATGTGCCTCTCAAAATAACACGCCCAGACTGGACCAAATACTCCAGATGTCCCAATGTGGCCGGCTGCTCCCCAGCTCTCCACTATGTAACTGGGAGCAGGCAGAGTTTTTCCAACAGCTACCTCATACCTCATACTTCATAACATAATCTCGAACAGCAATTGCACACTGCTGAGTCATGTTGAAGGGTGGATGATGGGTGTGGAGGGTGGAGGTGGGGAAAATTAACATGCCCTGCCTGTCTTCTAAGTGCCAGCCATTGTCTAGCAGGGGTCCTCAAACTTTTTAAACAGGGGACCAGTTCACTATCCCTCAGACTGTTGGAGGGCTGGACTATAGTTAAAAAAAAGCCTGGAAGATGATTTCATTGGTGACTTCTGTGGGCTCCTGGAGAGTTCTGTTCTTCTGATGACCCAACAAGATAGATATTCTAAGTCAGGGGTCCTGAAACTTTTTAAACAGGGGGCCAGTTCACTGTCCCTCAGACCGTTGGAGGGCCGGACTATAGTTTAAAAAAAAGCTATGAACAAATTCCTATGCACACTGCACATATCTTATTTTGAAGTAAAAAACCAAAATGGGAACAAATACAATATTTGTATTTGCATGTGGCCCGCGGGCCATAGTTTGAGGACCCCTGGTAGACACTCTACCTGATACCTTATGTGTTCTTCCAACAAGCCTACAAGGTAGATATTATTCCCATTTTGCAGATGAGGAATCTGAGGCTCAGAGAAGTTAAGTAATTTGCCCGGGGTCACACAGCTGGTAAGAGTCCTGAGTTTGGAACCCTTGTTTCTGGCTCTGAAGCCTGTGTTCTTTCTGCAGGACACTTCCCTAGCACTTGAAGCTTTGGCCATTCGGCCCCAAGATCATTTTCATATGAATAGCTGTCAGCCAGCCCGTTTCCCCAATACTATTCCTGCACCTGTTTTCTTTTTAAATCAAATACCCTTTTTCTTCTGGTTACAAAGTATGACTGACCCACTGTAGCAAAATGAAAGGTGTAGAAAAACACAACTGAAAATAACAGCGCTATCCACCAACTTATCATCCAAAGCGAACAGGTATTAACATCTAACACATCTCCTAACTATCTCGTTTCTAAGCCTGTATGAGATTGGACTACATGAAACGTCCATATTTAGTCATTTTTTACCTACAAAAAGGGGAGATTTCATGTAACTTGACATAACACTTTTTTGCAGAGAGGATATCTACTGTCATGTGAATTGTATTCTGCCTTTCCCTTGACATTACGTTCTTAGCATGTCCTGACATCTTTTCAAACTCTTGGTAAGCAGCATTTTAGTGGTGGCCTAATATGAAAATAATTCGGATTTAAAATAATTTAGTTTAAAAAATAAAATAATTAGTTAACTATTCTATTGTTGGGCATTTGAATGTTTTTCATCAAAATAGTTCTGATAAATATATTTATATATAAATATGCATTATATGTCTGATTATTTCTTAGAATTAATTCCTGTTGGTAGAAGTAAAGCCTATTTCAAAGGTTCTTAGTCCCTGATACTTTCCAAAGAGATTGAACAATTTCCACTCCCACCGTACCTTCACCAGCATAGAATATGATTACTTCCAAATATTTCTTAATTTGGTAGATTAAAAAATGGTATAGTATTATTTTTTAAATTTTTACTTCCTTGATTATTTTTGAGGCTGTTGTACAATTTATTTTTTTAACCTAAATGCAGGTCTTTACATTTATCTCTATATGTCAATTTATTCTATTCCATTGAGATCTTTTTGAATCAAAGATGAACCAAGAGTGTGAAGTGGCTACTGGACAAGTAAGTGCCTGCTTGGCCACATTAACAGGAGTGCAGTGTGTAGATCAGGGGAGGTGATGGTCCCATTCTACTGCTTCCTGGTGAGAGGATACCTCTGGAGCTTTTCAGCTATCCAGTTCTGGGTATTTTATTTAATAAGGACATTGACAAATTGGAGCATATTAATTGAGCAAAATGGTGAAGGAGGTGGAAAAAAGATTAAAGACACAGGGAAGATTTAATGCTGAGAAGATAAGTGAGTCACAGATTGGTGGAATAGCTGTATTAAAAATGACAGGCCTCTCCGTAAGGTCTTCGTAACTTTTCTGTTATACTAAAACTATTCTAAACTGAAAAGCTTATTTTTAAAAAATAAGGATAGGTCTTGGGTACAAGTCAAATTCAGTTTATTTTAAATGGTTTAAGAAACAATAAGTGCAATTCAAAAGATAATAGGTTTTAGCTTTAGATGAGAAAAAATACCTAGTATTTTGCACTGCTGTATACCAAATGACTTCCTTATTCCTTGGAAGGCAGTGAGTACCCTAGAGGTATTCAAGCAGAGCCTTTAAATTCAGGGTGAGGTAAGAGGGATATAAGTTTGAGTTCCAAAGCCAAGATGTTGTGAGTCTATGAATTGGTGCCCTTGGCAGTTTGGGTTGAAGGGATTCAAGCAGCCTGAAGCAGGTGCACTCCGAGGCAGAAGAGAGCAGAGCCAGCCAGGTGGGCGGATGGGGCTGACACATGTCTCTCTCTGCAGCACGAGTACCTGCTGAAGCTGAAGGTCATGTATACTGTGGGCTATAGCTCCTCCCTGGTGATGCTCCTGGTTGCCCTCAGCATCCTCTGTTCTTTCAGGTGAGAACACGTGAGCAGCTCTCCATCTCACCAGCCTTCCCTGGACACAGACTTTGCATCTCTTTTAACTGCTCAGGCCAGAGGGTGGGCCACTTTGTCACCTCTTGATCTAAGCTGACCTGTGGCAGACGTTCCTGTGACTGACCTTCCTGTGAAGTTTGTGACCCTGTTCATTCCTTTATTCACTCAACATTTACTGAGCATTGCTAGGAACTTACCATATCAGCTGCTTTACACGTTGTTATTTCTAATGTTCACTCAATGCTATTACCCTAACTTTACAGGTATGTTAGCCAGATTCTTGGTTGCAAGAAACAGAAACCTTCAAACAAAGGTGACCTGACCCACATAATTGACAAGGTCAGGGGCATCTGGCTGAATCTAGGCGCTCAAGGGTATTGGCACAACTAGGTTGGTCTCCCTCCATTTCTCCGCTTGCACTGGCCTCATCCTGGGGTTGACTTTCTGCAGGGGAGCGGAGACAGCCACCAGCAGCTGCAGGGGTACATTCTATCATTCTGCAACACCAGCACAAAGAAAGTCTCTTCCCCGTTAGATGCAATGAAAGTCCTGGGGGAATTCTCATAGGCCCAACTTGGGTCACATGCCCAACCCTGAGCCAATCACTGTGGCCAGGATTGGAGAGCTCCAATTGGTCGGGTCTGTCATGAGGGTGGAAAGGTGGAGTCAAACCCACCAGAGTTGGAGTGGGTTCCCCCTAAGAAAGCCTGGTCTGGTACCTGGACAACGGGAACAAGTAACAGACCTCTGTTCCTGACAGCAGAATAGGAAACAGGCTATGTGAGTGAAAAGACTAGCTCCAGGTCATATAACTAGCAAGGCTAGCTCCAGGTCATATAACTGACAAGGCTAGTTCCAGGTCATATAACTAGCAAGGCTAGCTCCAGGTCATATAACTAGGAAGGCTAGCTCCAGGTCATGTAACTCACAAGTCTAGCTCCAGGTCATATAACTGACAAGGCTAGCTCCAGGTCATTTAACTAGGAAGGCTAGCTCCAGGTCATGTAACTAGGAGGGCTAGCTCCAGGTCATACAACTGACAGCGGCAGAGCCCAGGTATGTCTTCTCCCTGAAGCCCGTGTTCTCTCTGTGCTGCTTGCCTCTAGGACCCCTCTCCCCCATCCCTTCTGAACAATTCTAGAAGCTAGAGATGCAGTAGGTCAAGGAAGAATATAATGCTGCCCCTGTGACCCAGCTTTTGTTATTATTATTATTACAGCATGAGACAGAGTAGACTGAGCACCTGGGGACCTGGGTTCTTAGGCAGATTGTACTAACAAAGCAATACAGAGAAATGTGTCACCTGGGAAGAGCATGTCCAGGACCTGGTTCCCCTGTGCACTGGGGGAGGGGTGGGCCTGCTGCACCCTGGCTCCTCCCAGCTCGGGCCCCTACGGCCCTGCTTTCTCTCCCTCCAGGAGGCTCCACTGCACCCGCAACTACATCCACATGCACCTGTTCGTGTCCTTCATCCTGCGCGCCCTGTCCAACTTCATCAAGGATGCTGTGCTCTTCTCAGATGATGATGACCACTGTGAAACCCACAGGGTAACGTGCCTCCGCGCCCCAGCGCGTGGCTCACTTTGGAGAGGGTGGTAGCCTTGTTCCTCCCAGAGTCCCTGCTGAGGCTGCACTAATGCCCATGGTAGAGGGCCAAGAGCTGGGGCCGGGTCAGGCAATGCAGGGAGAGCTCCACGCCCCCGCATGCAGGCTGGGTCCTGTATGAGCTCGGCTTGTGGGGAAGCCACTGGGGGGTTGCCACTCAGCTCCCAGGTCCGGGATTAGCCACTCTGAGGCTGAGACATATGCAAGGATCCTCCTTCCTCTACTCTTGCCAAGCCCCGCTGTAGACAGATGGCTAAGTCTAGAGAGGGTTGGGTTGGTTGTAGAAAGAAGGGGGTGAGCATATGCCTGTATGTCTGCACACACAGGTCTGCAGTGAAACCATCATGCTTGGTTCAATCTAACCCTCTTCCTCTTCTGAATGTGCTCAGATGAGTCTTAATTCATTGTAATATCACTTTGTGCCCATGGGAACCCCTTTAGTGCATGTAACAGAAAATTATCCGCCCGTGGCCTAGTCAGAGGGGTTGTTCCCCACGTACGCAGTCCGTAGATGGGCAACCCAGAGCTGGCTCTGTGACTCCATGACGCCATGAAGGAGTCATGAGGGAGTTACAGTCCTTGTCCCTCTTTGTGCTCTGCCATTCTTGCTCCCATGTTCATGCCACATTAGCATATGGCTCCTGTAACCCCAGGCCCACATCCACATTCCAGACAAAAAGGAGTTAAGTCGAAGGTTAAACACTTTTTCTCTTTGGGAGGCTTTGACTTTTTGTTTGGGAAAGAACACCCTCCCCAAGACTCCTACCTACCTCTTATTGACTAGAACTGGGTTGGGTGGCCATACTTAACTGCAAAGGAAGCTGGGAGATTGAGTTTTTTACTAGTACAGTCTCCAAAGCAGACACAAGTGAGGGAGAAGGGGTTTGGAAACTGAGATTGGTTCAGTCACCTGCCTGCCACTTTCCAGCACTCACATCTGGAATTCCTTATTGACCTGTTAGGTTTGTGTTTATAGTTTGTGTGTGTGTGTGTGTGTGTGTGTGTGTGTGTGTGTGTGTGTGTTTCTGACTCAAACTACGAGGTCCCTAAAGTGGGAACCATGACTCTCAGGGAGGTCTCCAGGATGAAGTAACAGTAGCAGACGGGGGGGCGGTCAGGACTCATTCAGGCCACCCCCCTCATCCCTGACCAGCGGTGGAGAAGTCCAGCTGTGCCCAGCAGGGAAGCTTCTTAGATTCTGCTAACATCAGACTTTTGAGCCAACCATGAACCACGCCTGGAATCAGAGTCTCTGGGAGGCCACAGGGTGAAACCACAGATGGCCTGCAGTGCAGCAGTGGGAACGCCTGCTCTCTGGACGTGACCTTGCAGCAGTCCATGCAGCAGCCCTCAGGCCAGCCCAGGAGCTGTCCTGTCCCTAGGGGACAGCTCAGTGAGAGGAAAGGGGACTCTCATGAGACGAGTATAGGTGCCATGCTGGCATAGAACCCCACAATCCCACAGGCATAGCTCCCAGGGATCCCGCAAGGGCCATGCTTGCTGTAAGAGTCACTGCATCAAGCAAGGCCGATACTGTGGCAGCCTCATCAGGTGTTAGAGGGCTCCGGTCAGGATGCCATGTACCAGCCAGGGGCCGTTTTCACTATAATCAATGTTGCCCCATCATACTTGGCATGTCCCTTCTTCATCCATTTCTAGAGATACTGAGCTCGGAAGGATTTTAACCCTTTAAATGTGCCTTTTCCTCTCTAGTTCAGTTTCCTCATCTGAAAAATGAGGGAGTTAGGGGTTGGGCAATATCTGACACAATTTTACAACTGGTAGCCAATTCCAAAATGTGAATGCAGTTCCTGCTTCCACGATGCCATCGTGACTGAGCCTACCAACTGTGGTCTTCTGATAGGGGAAGGCCACAGGGGATGGCCGTGAGGCCCAGGGGTCACTCTGTGGCCTGGCCCCTGACCCCTACCATACCTTGTCACTGCCTGTGAGGTGGCCCCCAGAGGACAGCCCACACTCGCCCATCCTGGGACTCACCTGCCTCTCTCTGTCCAGGTGGGCTGCAAGCTGATCATGGTCTTCTTCCAGTACTGCATCCTGGCCAACTACGCCTGGCTGCTGGCGGAGGGCCTCTACCTTCACACCCTCCTCGCCGTCTCCTTCTTCTCAGAAAGGAAGTGCCTCCAGGGCTGTGTCGCCCTCGGATGGGGTATGTTTCTCTGTGGGGACAGTGGCCGAGTGGTATGTGGGAAAGAGCGCTGAGTCAGATGAAGTTGGTTTCTAGTTCCAGCTCCACATTTAAATTGAGTTAACTTGTATCATCTTAGATAAGTTACTTGCTGTTTAACCATCAGGCCTCAGTTTACTTATCTGTCAAATGGGAAATATTAGCTAAAATTTAGCCCCAATTTCAGGCATCCGAAGCTTTTTACAATTTGATCCTACCCAACACTTGTTGCCTCATCTTCCTTAGACATTCCATATAGATGTCTTCATTTTTGCTTCCTTTCTATATCGGTTAGGGTGCTTTTGACTGTAGATATCATAAAATCTGGCTTATATAGGATTTAAATATAAAAGAAATTAAGTGGCTCATGTAACTGAGAAGCCCAGGGGTCACTAACTTCAGGTGAGGCTGAATTCAGCATCTCAGCAGCATTTCTTTCTACTTGGCGTTCTGTTAGTGCTCCCAGCTTCTGGGCTACCGGCTTTCTTGTTACATCTAATGGGGCACAGCATCTCCACTTGCTGGGAATGCTTTGTCCTAGCATTTCCAGCAAATTTCCTGGGGTTCTGATTGGACTCTGATTGGACCAGTGTAAGTCTCATACACATCCTTGGACCCATCACAGGGGCCTGTGATTGGATGGAATACACAGGGATGGAATACACTGATTGGCTTAAACTATTCAAATCACACAGCTTCTCAAAGGAAATCAGGATTCAGTTTCTAGGAAGGAGGGGAAATGATAGCGAGACAGTCAACTGCAGACCCCATTACATCTCTTTCCTCTTTCCTTTCTGGCCAACGAGAATAATAAAACTCTCCTTCTCCTTCTCCTTCTCCTTCTCCTTCTCCTTCTCCTTCTCCTTCTCCTTCTCCTTCTCCTTCTCCTTCTCCTTCTCCTTCTCCTTCTCCTTCTCCTTCTCCTTCTCCTTCTCCTTCTCCTTCTCCTTCTCCTTCTCCTTCTCCTTCTCCTTCTCCTTCTCCTTCTCCTTCTCCTTCTCCTTCTCCTTCTCCTTCTCCTTCTCCTTCTCCTTCTCCTTCTCCTTCTCCTTCTCCTTCTCCTTCTCCTTCTCCTTCTCCTTCTCCTTCTCCTTCTCCTTCTCCTTCTCCTTCTCCTTCTCCTTCTCCTTCTCCTTCTCCTTCTCCTTCTCCTTCTCCTTCTCCTTCTCCTTCTCCTTCTCCTTCTCCTTCTCCTTCTCCTTCTCCTTCTCCTTCTCCTTCTCCTTCTCCTTCTCCTTCTCCTTCTCCTTCTCCTTCTCCTTCTCCTTCTCCTTCTCCTTCTCCTTCTCCTTCTCCTTCTCCTTCTCCTTCTCCTTCTCCTTCTCCTTCTCCTTCTCCTTCTCCTTCTCCTTCTCCTTCTCCTTCTCCTTCTCCTTCTCCTTCTCCTTCTCCTTCTCCTTCTCCTTCTCCTTCTCCTTCTCCTTCTCCTTCTCCTTCTCCTTCTCCTTCTCCTTCTCCTTCTCCTTCTCCTTCTCCTTCTCCTTCTCCTTCTCCTTCTCCTTCTCCTTCTCCTTCTCCTTCTCCTTCTCCTTCTCCTTCTCCTTCTCCTTCTCCTTCTCCTTCTCCTTCTCCTTCTCCTTCTCCTTCTCCTTCTCCTTCTCCTTCTCCTTCTCCTTCTCCTTCTCCTTCTCCTTCTCCTTCTCCTTCTCCTTCTCCTTCTCCTTCTCCTTCTCCTTCTCCTTCTCCTTCTCCTTCTCCTTCTCCTTCTCCTTCTCCTTCTCCTTCTCCTTCTCCTTCTCCTTCTCCTTCTCCTTCTCCTTCTCCTTCTCCTTCTCCTTCTCCTTCTCCTTCTCCTTCTCCTTCTCCTTCTCCTTCTCCTTCTCCTTCTCCTTCTCCTTCTCCTTCTCCTTCTCCTTCTCCTTCTCCTTCTCCTTCTCCTTCTCCTTCTCCTTCTCCTTCTCCTTCTCCTTCTCCTTCTCCTTCTCCTTCTCCTTCTCCTTCTCCTTCTCCTTCTCCTTCTCCTTCTCCTTCTCCTTCTCCTTCTCCTTCTCCTTCTCCTTCTCCTTCTCCTTCTCCTTCTCCTTCTCCTTCTCCTTCTCCTTCTCCTTCTCCTTCTCCTTCTCCTTCTCCTTCTCCTTCTCCTTCTCCTTCTCCTTCTCCTTCTCCTTCTCCTTCTCCTTCTCCTTCTCCTTCTCCTTCTCCTTCTCCTTCTCCTTCTCCTTCTCCTTCTCCTTCTCCTTCTCCTTCTCCTTCTCCTTCTCCTTCTCCTTCTCCTTCTCCTTCTCCTTCTCCTTCTCCTTCTCCTTCTCCTTCTCCTTCTCCTTCTCCTTCTCCTTCTCCTTCTCCTTCTCCTTCTCCTTCTCCTTCTCCTTCTCCTTCTCCTTCTCCTTCTCCTTCTCCTTCTCCTTCTCCTTCTCCTTCTCCTTCTCCTTCTCCTTCTCCTTCTCCTTCTCCTTCTCCTTCTCCTTCTCCTTCTCCTTCTCCTTCTCCTTCTCCTTCTCCTTCTCCTTCTCCTTCTCCTTCTCCTTCTCCTTCTCCTTCTCCTTCTCCTTCTCCTTCTCCTTCTCCTTCTCCTTCTCCTTCTCCTTCTCCTTCTCCTTCTCCTTCTCCTTCTCCTTCTCCTTCTCCTTCTCCTTCTCCTTCTCCTTCTCCTTCTCCTTCTCCTTCTCCTTCTCCTTCTCCTTCTCCTTCTCCTTCTCCTTCTCCTTCTCCTTCTCCTTCTCCTTCTCCTTCTCCTTCTCCTTCTCCTTCTCCTTCTCCTTCTCCTTCTCCTTCTCCTTCTCCTTCTCCTTCTCCTTCTCCTTCTCCTTCTCCTTCTCCTTCTCCTTCTCCTTCTCCTTCTCCTTCTCCTTCTCCTTCTCCTTCTCCTTCTCCTTCTCCTTCTCCTTCTCCTTCTCCTTCTCCTTCTCCTTCTCCTTCTCCTTCTCCTTCTCCTTCTCCTTCTCCTTCTCCTTCTCCTTCTCCTTCTCCTTCTCCTTCTCCTTCTCCTTCTCCTTCTCCTTCTCCTTCTCCTTCTCCTTCTCCTTCTCCTTCTCCTTCTCCTTCTCCTTCTCCTTCTCCTTCTCCTTCTCCTTCTCCTTCTCCTTCTCCTTCTCCTTCTCCTTCTCCTTCTCCTTCTCCTTCTCCTTCTCCTTCTCCTTCTCCTTCTCCTTCTCCTTCTCCTTCTCCTTCTCCTTCTCCTTCTCCTTCTCCTTCTCCTTCTCCTTCTCCTTCTCCTTCTCCTTCTCCTTCTTTTTTTAGAGAGAGAGAGAATGTGTAAGGGAGGGGGAGAGAGACACAGAAACATTGACTGGAATCAAACCGGGGACCTTTCAGTCCAAGGGCCAACACTCTATCCACTGAGCCAAACTGGCTAGGGCACAATTCTTATATCTTGAGCACTTACTATGTGCTAGGCATTGAGCTCAACACTTTAAAAAAATATTTTTATTGATTTCAGAGAGGAAGGGGGAGAGAGAGAGAGAGATAGAAACATTAATGATGAGAGAGAACCATTGAACAGCTGCCTCCTGCACACCCCCTACTGGGGATCGAGCCTGCAACCTGGGAATGTGCCCTTGACCGGAATCGAACCCAGGACCCTTCAGTCTGCAGTCCAATGCTCTACCCACTGAGCCAAACCAGCCAGGGAGAGCTCAGCACTTTTCATGCATTATTTTATCATCACAACCTTCAGAGTCCTCTCAGAGAAACCTTGGCTTAGAGATGTGACATAAAATGTTCAACTCACACTGTAGACAAGGGCAGACCCAGGATTCAAACCATGGCCTATTTTTAAAGCCTCTTAACTTCTATTCTGCCATTAATGAAAATCAATCCATCCATCCATCCCTCTATCAATTTTTCATTTGATAAACATATGTAAGTTGCCTACTGGGCTCTGGAGAGAGAACCAGGTTCCTAGGGGTGACTCACAGGCTTACAAGGATAGTCATGTGTACCAGCCACTAGCTTCCCCTTCTTTCTTCTTGGTGCTTGTAATTAAGAAGTGCCCCAACCAGGAATGTGTTACACTTCTTTTCTGCTTGTCTAAATCCTACAGGGAAGGGCCCTATCTCCTTATCAGACCGTCAGGGAAGTCCTCCTGCTTTGGAACGGAATGCTGCCCGATTAGCACATGAGGCTTGGCTGGCAGCGGCTGTGGGGCTCTGTGATCTCTGAATATCCTCATAGGCCGCTAGTCCCGAGTGCCCGGGGAGCCAGGACTTGCCCGCTGCAGCTGACTCTGCCAATAGAACACCCAGTTTGGAGCCCAACTCTCGGAGCCTTGACACCAGATCTGCCAGGATTTCACTGTATGGACATGGGCAGTTTCATCCTCTATAATATCAGGAGCATAATTTATTCATTTTCTTCAAGCACTTCTTTATGCTCAGAGGGGCTTAGGGCCAACACAAAAACAAAAACAAAAACAAAAACAAAAACAAAACCATTTCCACAGCTTAGAGGGTTGGTCATCTAGCAGGAAGACAAACTCGCATCGTGGTATCTCCTACAGGTTTCTAGGAGGTTTAAATGAGATAATGAGAGCCTTCCTTTCTTTCTCAAATATTTAGTGAGCATCTTCTATGTGCCAGGCCCAGGGACAGAGCAGCACATGAAGCAGAAGCGGTGTTCTCTCCAGGCTTTCTGCCTACACAGCCCCCAGGAGAGCGTGCAGGAAGGCCTGCAGTCCTCCATCTGTGACATGCCTTTCTCTTGCAAAAGCAGCGGCCCCTCCTCAATTTGTACTCAACTTGTTTCCACAGAGACAGGTTGTTTAACTCTCGTGCCCACTGTAAAACTTTGCAAAAAAAATTTTTAAGTAGAAAAAAATGTACCCTAGGCCCATCTATTGAACATTTTCTGGGGTTTTCTTCCAGGCTGTTCTTCCTCCTCCCAGTTTCCACCACACAGTTGTGGTCATTCTGCAAGTAGAATTTGGACCTTGCTTCTTTCCATTAACACACAAGCATGCTTTGTGTTCTTTCAACTCTTCCATAAACATCTTTCCTTCTCTGTGGATGTATTTAACCAAATACCTATGATTTGGACATTTAAGT